ATTATGGGTGAGAACGGTTTTCCCGGGAAGCTGACCAGACTGATCAGGGCTACGATGGATGGTGTACAGTGCTGCGTGAAGATATCGGGTGCGTTATCGGACTCGTTTGAAACTCGCAAAGAACTTCGACAAGGCGATGGTCTTTCCTGCCTCCTGTTCAACATTGCGCTAGAAGGTGTTATGACACGTGCGGGCTTTAACATGCGGGGCACGATCTTCAATAAGTCCAGCCAGTTCATCTGCTTCGCTGACGACGTGGACATTGTCGGAAGAACGTTTCAAGCCGTGGCGGAGTAATACCGTATGCGTGATAATATTTGCACCATCGTACAAATAAGGTTCCCGTTTCACCTGTGCATACAATGCTTTGGTTTTCTTTGCATGCACGTAACCTATAGCTCATACCGTAGTAGGCTGTGTATAAAAGAAAATGATTTACTTAGTTTGACGGTTGCACCATGACGCAGTGGCAGCGTATTCGTGATTTGTCCCACGCGCAAATGTCGCAAAAAGACATTTCGATCGCCGTGGGAGTGTCCCGATGGACCGTCAAAAGGGTTTTAGACCGAGAAAAAAAAAGGAAAACTATCCGCAAAGGTGGCCACAGGTCGTCCGAGGTCAGCTCGGGTTCCGAGGTTATCGCTTCTATCAAAATAAAGATGCGGGTGAATCCAGTGCGTTCAATAAGGAAAATGGCAAAGGAACACGGGATCAGTGACTTTACGGCACGGAAAATCGTAAAGGAAGATTGCGGAGCGAAGTAGAGGGCACGAAAACAAAACTCACATGATTACCAACCGCATCCGGGAGCTACGAGTCGAACGATGCAAGAAAATCTTGAACTTCCTTAAGCGAAAAAATCCGGTAATCCTGTTCACCGACGAGAGCATGTTTACCGTCGGTTCCGTATCAAATTCCAGAACCGACCGGAATATTAGTTCCCTTCCGGTAAAAGACGTGGCCGACGAGCACAAGAACGTGTATCTGACCGAGCATCATCCTACTAGCGTTATGTGTTTGGATTGGTGGCTTCCGATGGCAAAAAAATTGACCCGGTGTTCATTCCAGAAGGCGACAAGGTCGACACGGAGGTCTACATCGGGATTTTAAGTAAGTATGTTCTTCCGTGGATCGAAGAACAGTACGGTCCGAAGCCAAATGTTGTATTTCAATAAGATGGGGCTCCGTGCCACACCTCGAAACGCACTCAGAAGTGGTTGCAGGAACATCTTCCGTTCTGGGCGAAGGATATGTGGCCGCCATCCGGCCCCGATCTTAATCCGCTGGATTACTCAATATGGCGCGTCATGAAGGCCAAGGCCTGTTCTAAACGTCACCCGAGTACAGCAAACCTCAGACAAACATTGACCCGTACCTGGAGAGAAATGGATCCAGACTACATTATTAGAACCTGCCGTGCATTCCGGAAGCGTGTGGAGGCCGTGATTGCAGCTAGAGGAAACTCGATCGATGATTAACATAGCTTAAGACTCTGAAAAAATAAAAAAATCGAAAACGAAATTTTTGAAATTTTTTTAAATTTTGACATTGATCAATGGTGCAAACATTATCATGCATACGGTATTCCTGGCTACTGCAGCTTGCGAGTATGACGATATCATCTTGATTGAAACCGGCTTGATGATAGCATCAATTCGACTCAGATTTTTGGACCTGGCTACAACGTGTTTCGCTGTGATCGCAACTTACGCATTATTCAACATTGGTTGGAATCAAATGCTCCTCTCAAAAGACGACCAATTTCTCCAGCTTGGAGTACTCCTCAGCGTGACTTCAAGCGTGCCATTATCGCTTACATTAAACTTAACAGTGCCTTGTACAAATCACACGTCCTCAGAGTCCAGTGGAATTTGCGGCGTAACCCCCGAAATTTTTGGAGCTTTGTCAACAGCAAAAGGAAAGATTTGAGTATACCGTCCAACATACTACTCGACGGGAAAGAGTCCTCTTCTCTTAGCGAAGCGTGTGAGATGTTTGCTAAACACTTTGCATCTGTTTTCGATAAAAACTATTACAAGTGACGTTGAAGCTGAATCTGCTGCCTCTGATACGCCTAGTGACTTAGTGGAACTGAGCACATTCGAATTAACTCTGGATATGGTACTTTCAGCAACAAGGAGACTGAAAACCTCACTCTCTCCTGGTCCAGATGGATTTCCGGCAGTGATGTTCTGCCGTTGCTCAGCTACCTTAGCAGAACCTTTAGCAGCCATATTTAATGCATCCTTTGAGCAAGAAAAATTCCCTACATTGTGGAAGCAGTCGTATATGTTTCCTGTTTTCAAAGCTTAATATAAACGGGATATTAAGAACTTTCGAGGTATCACCAGTCTTTCGGCAGCGTCCAAACTGTTTGAGATCATCTTAAGTGAATTTGTCCTGACTACATTTCAACTGACCAGCATGGATTTATTCCCAATAGATCGGTAGCTACTTACCTGGAAAAGGTACAAGTCGACGTCATATACACTGATCTGAAAGCCTCATTCGACTAAATCGACCAGAAGGATTTGTTATGCAAGTTTTCCCGCGTCTCCTAGCGTCTGAGCAACTAAGGTCGTGGTTACATTCCTACTTGACTGGAGTAGTACGACTAGGATCTTGTGTCTCTTCTACGTTTACCAGCACCTCTGGAGTACCTCAGGGAAGTAACCCGGATCCACTTTTGTTTACGTTATTCTTCAACGATGTAGCAGCTTTGTTGGGAGTTAAATGCAAGCTCGTTTATGCAGATGATCTTAATCTATACGTCATAGTTCACTCGATTGAGGATTGTCCTCGTCTTCAAGCTCTGCTAGATTTGTTTGTGGATTGGTGCCGTCGCAATAAGCTCATCATCAGCGTTCCAAAGTGTGCAGTGATGAGTTCAATCCTTTGCGACTACTGCATTGACAATGTAACGCTTCGCAGAGTAGAACGTATGACTGATCTTGGTGTTCTTTTGGACCCAAAGTTGACCTTCAATCTTCACTATTCCTCGATCATCTCTAAGGCGAATCGTCAACTGGAGTTAATTCAGAAGATTGCACGAGATTTCAAAGACCCTCACTGCTTGAAGGCACTATATTGCTCTTTAGTTCGGCCTATACTTGAGAATGCATCTGTGGATTCCATTGGACTGCATATGGATACCATGAGCCAATGTCTGGGATGATTCGGGCATTCTCTGCTGAGGAAGAAGCATTTGAATTCGGAGAAACATCGAACCAATTTCGAAACCAATTGAGAAGATTGTGATTATTTTTGTAATCAGTTTATCTGATGCTTTTTTGTGTATTATCTAAGTTTTATTTATTAAAGACAACTACTCTCAGATGAATTACAATAAATAAAAAAAATGCTCTGCCAATAAAGTCCAAAGCGACACTGATAAATCAATAAATAGTAGTTCAACCACTAGCCAAGATTTCGAAAATCTATCTACTCACAGTCTTTTTAAAAATTGCTCATTAAGGTGTACGCTCAATTTTGAGATACACTGTCACGAATGTCTCCCGCAGTAAAAGAAAATTATGTTTTGAGTTCAGGACTTTTCCGAAGGAAACTAATCGATTCCCAGTCAACAGATGATAACAGACGCAATATATACAGGGAAAGGGAGTTGGAATCAGAGACGGACACATTTCTGCTGGGAATGTTAGCGTAGAAAAATTTGAGTAATAATGTTAAAATAACGGGGACCCTTTCGAAAGGGGAAGGTTTCGCTAATGCCTAAATATTCACCAAAGTCTTAAAACAATCCTGTGAAGAATTCCAAGAGCATCAAGATGCTTCAAACATTGCAAATTTATCGAGATCCTAGGCACGGAAAAAATAAGACTCCAGTCTCAGGCTTAATCAAAACCTAATCGAGTAATAATGATATCAAATGTCATACATATTATTTCCAGTGAAAATGGAACCCAAGATCTGTCATCTAAAGTCTCAAAACCATGTTCATACAGTACCCGTTCAATTTTGGCAAGGCTCGATTTTGGCACCAAAATCGAACGGATTACAAAAATCATGAATTATCGCTCATTGTGATTATAATTTTTAATAAATAATTATTATTAAATTCAATGTCGTAAAAATGAGTTGACTTCTCTCTACTTGGTGCAAAATCATCGAAATCATAAAAAATACAAAATAAAAACGTTTGATTTTGGGCACCCCAGAAAATTATCGGATTTGTCGCCAAAATCACACTGTAGTACCTGAAGGAAAGACACTTTTTTCCTACTTTAGACACATGTTTTCCTTCATTAGTACGTGCTTCCCTCAACGGCAACGAGCTTGAGCCACTTTCACTTAACCCTAGATTAAAATTTATGTGCCTCAACACAGCTGTCTCTCCAATGTCCAATTTCAAGGCTCATAGGTTTCACCTCACCACGCGCCGCGTGCTGTAAAATTCCAATCCATGCTCGATTGCACCCATGATGCCCTAAAAATAAACCTCGCTTTGCTTTGATGGCAAATTATCACCGTTCGTTCGTCCACAACGATGTTCACAATAACACATTTCAAGACCAAAACATTGCAGCTTCAGATCGCAGTCTTTGAAAGGTTCGCCTTTCAGAACCAGCGACTTATGTAGGTGTCCACGGATTTGGACTGACTAGCAACTGACTGCAGCTGACATCAGCTGAGAGCAACCAACATTTATTACGAAATCACGCAGTCACGATCACACGCCAAAAACACTGAACGGAGAAGGCTTCTTGGTGTCCTCCTCTCATCGCTCTTCCTTCCTTGGCCGTTATGTGTTATCATCACGCTATACTTATTGCGGCTCGATTTACTTCTGTAAATATCGTTTTGTTGGATACCAATTTGCATCCATTCCGCACTCATTTACCAACAATAATAGCTCGCCGCCGCGAAGCAGAGAGTCCAAATGAAACATTACACCACAGCATCCAGCCCACCGAAAACCAAAAAAAAAAAAATCGAATCCAAACCGACAGGTTTCGAATCCTATCATCTCTTTCACTTACTTCTTGCAGCAATCGTCGAACGATCTCCGGAGCTCTGTATAATCCGATATAACCTGTTGAACTCTTTTTAGGACACCGAGTTATCCAGAACAAGTTGCAATCTTCCCGCTCTCGCTTAGGGCAAGCACTAACACATTCGCTTCTTCCACGTCGTGGACTTCTTCGGTTTAACACAATCTACAATTCCATCAAGCCATCAACTCGAACATGCACACAGGTTTCACTTTGCTCGGCGTGGCCACGATCACTGGATCAGGGTGTACCGTTTCTTTCACTCCTGCCTGCTTCTCCTTTGATATTTTAGCGAAACCACAAAAATTTACACCCGCCTTTACTACCTACTACGGGAGAAGGCCCACAGAGCATCAACGCTTACTCCCCGGCCACACACACACGCACACTCCACACGGGGGAGGAGGGCGAGACGATGAGAATCAAACTTTAAAAAAAAACACAACAACACATCCGCATCCACAGATCGCGAAGAAACACAAAACTTTCTGAATGCCTGTAGTGTCTAGTCAAGTTCCACCGAAAAAAAAAACCCGAAACGGCCGTATCCGAAATCACCACACACTAGCTTTCCTGATGCGATTCAACCTTTTCTCACTGGTAAACACACAACCGTTACACATGAACGCTGAAAGTAGACTGATACATTCCTTTTACTCACAGCTCGGCATTCCGTCGTCGTCGCAAAGAGCCCGTAGAGGCACAGCTGGGCACACTGGTTCGCCCCTAACCAGTCCAACCACGTGAATGGAGCTGCTGCAACCACCCGCGTCTCTCGCCTCACCCGCCACATCAACCAACCCGACCGAGGCTCGCGTCAAGATCATGGATCGGATGGGGTTGTGGTGGGCGGTGGAAAGCGACGAGAGAAATCCTAGGAGCCATGCCATGCCATGCCAAATGCCATTCACTGCTGGTGGTTCATTGTAGGAGCTCGCTCCGGTGATTTTCATGCTGATTCTCTCTCCGCTCGCTCGCGAGCAGCAGTCAGCAGAGAAAGAGAAAGAGCGAAAGCTGCAATATTTTGTAAACATTGTGATTTTCCACGGCCGGTTATTAGGTACACGGCCAATGAGAGTTACTCCAAATTCAGTGAATGAGAAAAACTTTCCTCGTTATTCCAGGAAAAACTTAGGAAAATCGAGAGACATTTCACCCAGTCCGTTAGTAAATTTTGGTCGATTTTCCTCATATTCAAGCAGTTTTTCCTGGAACTGAGGAAAATTTTACTCTCTCACGGAGTAACCCCACTTTTTGCAATTATGAGTTGAATTCGACGCAGTTACTGAGTTACTCTAATCGGCCGTGTACAAAGGGAAAATCTGCCGATAGGGCACAAACTCAGTTGGTGGCCCACGTGGATCAGGTATATGTACAAAGCTCACTCTCTCAAGCTTTTACCCGTTTCATTGTGAGAGAGGTGATTTTCTTACGAAATTATTCCACCTCAAATGCTTGTGGTGAAAGTTCGAACAAACAAATCTGGAGTCCTTTTTGATTCGGTCGTATGTAACAAAAGTAAACAAATGATGCTAACTAAATAGTTTAAAAGTCTCACTAAATTGATTGAGCGTGCGTTCCACAGCAGACTTGTTACAGGTGGAATCACCGATTTCAACCAGTCGGAGCTCTCTTTCCGGTTAGATTCCGCCAGGGCTCCTGGTGACCTACACACTTAAAAATAACTATTTTTACACGAGACGTAATCCATCTTATCTTTGACGTAAATTATGAAACGTAAACAAACATGTCATGTAAAATTAATTGTTCCCAAACCGAAACATACGCAATTTGACGAAAAGTACGATTGATTGAATTTATTTTCTCGTTTCTTTCAACTGATTCTTTTGTCATTTGGGCCGCTTGCATGTGTCGGTCTCAGGGCACGGAAATTTACATGACTTTTTGGTAGTGTGTAGTGAGGGAGCGAACCTTATCCAAATCGACATCGGTGGCATTTCTAAGGTCGATGACATAGTAACGCGTTTGCGTCTGAGATGCTTTGATGGGCGTCCATGCAAAATGCTTGGTGAAACGCTAACATCTGTCATAGTAAACGCGTTGCGATGCGTCAGCAATAGCGCCAAAGCACACCTTGAAGTGTTTTCACGCTCGTGCACGCAAAAGATTGTTGTAGTGCCATTGAAATTAAATGGTGATCGACTAGGGAAGGGGCTGTTCATTAACTACGTTGACCTTTGTCGTGACCGGACCGAGGTTTCCAGCCTCGGTCACGGCTACACGAATCTTGGCTGCTAAGCTTCCACTGCTACTGCTGCTATTTCTGTTGCTGTTCTTGCTACTGCTGCTGCCGTTCCTGTTGCTGCTGCTGTTCCTGCTGCTGCTGCGGCTCGTCCGTCGCCTTCAACGTTCGTCACAAGAATGCCTTCCGCGAGTTTTTTTTTTGACTTTAAATGATCTTTATTTCTTGTGTTAGTGTGGTTTACATGTATGAATTTTTCAAGTGACACAGAAGCGTCTTTTCAACTTTAGTACAGTGAGATTTTAATTATTATTTACAGTTTCTAGTCCTATCAGGCCTATTTTAAAGTATGACCACCTTGGTGGGATTGGTTTGATTTGAATTGGAAAAAGGAGACTACTTATAACTACTATTTACAACTACAACTAACCTACAACTACTATATACACCTAACCTACTATATACAAATTGCTTATCAAAGCATGTTCTGATAAATTACATTTTTGTGCAAATTTAGTCTTAATTTCGTTAATTTTGGAATCTATTTCATGTAAATTTGTTATTCTAGTGTCGAAAGGACGATCAAGAACCATCCTCAGCACTCTATTCTGAGCGACCTGAATTTTGTTCCTGTGAGTCTGTGCACATGATTCCCACACCGGAGCTGCGTAGAGGATCGCAGGTGCTACGATTTGTTTGTAGACGGCCAGTTTGTTCACCCTTGAGAGGCGGGATCTGCGGCAAATCAGCGGATACAGACACCTAACCAAGGCAGAACACTTAACTACAGTTTTCTCTACATGCGCACGGAAGAGGAGCTTTTCATCAAACATCCCGAGATAGGTTACTTCGGCGGACCACTCAACCCTTGTGCCATCCATAATTACAGTACAAGATGGAGCCGGTTTCAGTTTGGGCGATTGCCGATGGAGGAACATGATCGCTTGTGTTTTGGAGGCATTGATTTTGATTTTCGACGTGGTGGCATAATCAGCAAAGGCGTTAAGGCATCGTTAAAGTTTGTTCGTTATTTCGCGAGACATCCTTCGTTTGACGGCTATTGCGGTATCATCTGCGAACAGGAAAAACACGCAACCGTCACCGAGGGGAGGAATGTCGGAAGTATAAATGCTGTAAAGCAAGGGGCCCAGCAAACTGCCTTGCGGGACTCCTGCTGGGATGGAAAACGTGTCTGAAAGACAAGCATTCAACGATACCTTAAACGACCTTTGCTGAAGGTAGTTACGGTGATTTTAACCAGATGTAATGGGAAGTTGAAGTTACAAAGCTTGTACACAAATCCGTCATGCCAAACATTGTCAAACGCCTTTTCAACGTCTAACAAGACCATGGCTGTGGACTTGGATACAGCTTTGTTACTTCGGATGTTATTCATCACCCGTACTAGCTGGTGATTGGTGGAGTGCCCCTTTCTGAACCCGAACTGTTCCGGAAGGAGAATGTTATTTTCCTCTACAAACTTAAGCAAACGATTGAGAATGAGTTTCTCGAACAATTTGCTCAGCGCTGAAAGGAGGCTGATTGGTCTCTAGCTTGAAGACAATGTTGGATCCTTACTGGGTTTGCGGATTTGTATGATTTTTGCTACTTTCCAGATGCTTGGAAAGTAGTGCAGTTCCAAACATCTGTTGAAGATAGCGGTTAGAAGAGACTGCACTTTCATGCTGAGTCTCTTCAAGATCAAGTTGAATATACCGTCAAACCCGGGAGCCTTCATGTTCTTGGTGCATTTCAGCGCTGAGCAAATCTGTTGTACTGTAATCATATCCGCCGGAGGCACGACACAAGGGGAGGCATCTAGGTTTTGAACGCATTGCGCAACCTAATCTTCGAGCGGACTTTGGATATTCGAGCCAAGCAAATGCGATGAAGCGACATGCTTGCCGATCGCATTTGCTTTCTCCTGTGGGGTGATTAAAAGCCGATCGTCATCATTTTCGACTCTGAGAGGTGGAATGGGTTTGGGATGAGTTTTCAGGACCTTGGCTACCTTCCAGAATGGTCTGGAGCGGTCGTCCAGATTCTGGACAACACGCCCGAAACTTTCATTTCAGAGTGAGTCCATTCTGGAAGCAATCGGTCTGTTCAGATCGGCCATTTCACGTTTTTTGCCCAGATCTCCAGTCCTCTGAAACTGGCGTCTACGAACATTTCTCAGGCGAATCAAAAGTAGGGTGTGGGAATCAATGACAATAAACTTACCCCTCACAGGAACTCGTCGGACGCACGCCTCGTCAGCCACGGTTATGGCTTGGTGGAGTCCCTCCAACGCTCGGTCGATGTCCTCCACAGTGTCAAGCGACGGGTTGTCGATTATGTGCCTGTCTACCACGCGTCCAAACTGGGCCCAGTTTACGCGATGGTAGTCCTTGCGCAGGCTTGAAGCAGGAGCCACGTTGCAGCCCAGTTCAGCCACCACCGGTTGGTGGTCGGAGCTGAGTTCGTTCAAGGCTACCGGCTTGGACAAGCCTATATTTGTCAGGAACAGGTCTAGTGTCGATGGGTTGCCCGCCGGTGAGATGAATGTTGGTTCATCCGAAAACCAAACGGAGTACAGCCCCTGCTGTGAGTGGTCGAACAGGAGACGACCGTTCTGGTTCTGCTGGTAGTTCCACCAGGCCTCATGGCGAGCATTCAGATCTCCTCCAACTACGAAGCGGGAACCGGTACGGGTGATGGTGGACAGGTCCTTCTTAAATTTAGCCGCTAGTCCACTGCTGGCGGCACACTGTAGAGGGCAGTAGACGGCGATGAACTGGACGTATCCAGTCGACGATTCCACCTCCACACCAAGTGCCTCGATGATAGAGGTGCGGATATGGGACAGAGTGTGGTATTTTATTCCTTTCTTGACGACGACCGCAACACCACCCCCCCTGGAGCTGGTGCGATCAAGCCGGATAATGTTGTGGTCTGGCAACCAGAAGCTGTCGCCGGACTTTAGATGGGTCTCGGTTAGAAGGCCCACGTCGATGCTGTGCTTGCGGAGGAAGTCGGCAAGCTCAATCTTTTTTGCTCTTACAGAGCAAGCATTCCAGGTGACGATTGTTAGCGGTTTAGACGCCATACTGGATGATGAACTTACCGAGCACTTGGATCTGTTCGGGCTTATTGCGGCACTTACGAAGAGCACCGGACATGTTGACGAAAATTTCCATCAGTTCATCCGCTGAGAACAGATCGGGGTTGTTGTTTTGCGCTGTTGGTTGTCTCCAGAATCCAGGGGGGATGGAGAGCTTTGGCCAGCAGAATCACCGGAAGTTGCTTGAGCGGGATGCACCCGCGAATTTGCTTGCCTTTGCTGAGGAGCACGAAGAGGCGGGAAATCCTCCGTCCGAAATGCCGGGACTTTGTCCTTCTTGCGTCCTGGTTGGTTGTTAGTTGC